TCTTTATGAAGAAGCAGAAAGTGAGTCAAACTCTCTCCACAACAGGATAGTTTGCTTCCCTGTGTGAAGTTAGTGCAGTTTGCCGCTGGCTACAGCTAGTTTAGCATTAGCTATTATGTAAAATGCAAGAAGTGAACATTTGTTTCTATAATTTAAAGCATCTGCTAAAATGCACAGAGGGAACAGCTGGTATTATTATTATCAAGAATAAAACATCAGACACTTTTGTTGGGTATTTTTATGAAAGTGAAATGACTGCATCCAAAAATCTATAATTGTGGGTTTAGTATTTTTTAAAACTATTTTCTGTATAAAACGGAGCTGGTTTCATGTTTGATAATTTAGATCAGACGATGAGACAACTAATATCACCACTAATAAAACAGGGCCTGATGGTCATATGTTATTTGTTGGTTATTTTATGATATTTTATTAAATTTTCAAAGCTGACTGACTTCAGGTGGCAGTAAAAAAATAACAATGCTGAATCCATCTCTCCTGATATAGGATACAGAATCAGAAGCAGCAGCAGCTATAGGGACACTGATGTGAGTGATGATGATTAAGGTGCTGCTGGTGTAAAGGTTTTTATTATTATTCAAGATTTTAATGTACTATTACTTTCAGAAAGTTTCATTAAGATTATCCAATTGGTTAAAAAGTTATATTGTTAAGAAGTAAAGCAAAACTCTTTTGTTTCTCTCTCACTGGCTGGACCTGCAGGCTTGCATTCTATCAAAGAAGCAGCAAGCAGCAGCAGACGTTTTTTTTAGTGAAAGAATTTACATATTATTATTAATGATTTTTTTCTTTATTCATTTATTCTCATTTTATGAACAATTTATTTAAGTCTTGTTGTGTACAGGGTTAATCAACTTTGCTCTTATTTTTACATGTTCGTGCGTTATCCGGCTCAAGAGCGATGATGGGAATGTTTTCCTTTTTCTCAGCCTGACCCGTGAGAATACTGCTGGCAGGTGCAAGTTTCTGCAGAATATTCCCAGACKGTCTGTTTTGTATTGTCTGAAAGAACCAGTTGTATTTTGTATAACTGTAGCTGTTTTCCCACCGTCCCGTTTCACCCAGCAACAGTAAAAGTAACTGGTATGGTGGGCTGATTTTTTTTCCACTCCTTTTTTCCTGAAACTTAATAAATATGATCGCTCCAGCTCAAAGGGGCAGAACTTCTTTGTTCCCAACTGCTGTTAAGTTGGACATTTGAACTTCTCCCCTTTGTGCAAAGTGTATCTTAAATTTTCACTATTTGTCTGATTTGTCTGATTTTTGTTGGTCCACTTGGGTTGTTTGACCAAATTTATTTGACTATTTAAAGAGGAAAAAATCCAACATTTCTTGGTGGTCCGTACGGGGAAACCTCATTGGATTTCGAATCCAATGGGGTTGTAAATCCCACTCTTGTCAGTGTGGGATTTATTCCAAGAGGGTCACAGAAAAATCATTAATAATAATATGTAAGTTCTTTCACTAAAAAAAAACTACTGCTGCTGCTTGCTGCTTCTTTGATAGAATGCAGGCCTGCAGATCCAGCCAGTGAGAGAGAAACAAAAGAGTTTTGCTTTACTTCTTAACAGTATAACTTTTTAACCAATTGGATAATCTTAATGAAACTTTCTGAAAGTAATAGTACATTAAAATCTTGAATAATAATAAAAACCTTTACAGCTGGGCAATTATGAAAGAAATCTAAAATGTTTATTCAAATCAGTATGTTTTAATCCATTCTAGTCAGTTGTGTGATCTTCGTGAAATACATTAATGATTTAAAAGCATAATCTATAATTTTATGTTGGCCAGCATAAAATGATTATTTATATGTATATTTTAACTTTAATTTTCAGAAATTAGTAGAAATTGTGGTACGAAGGGAGTAACCAGTGTAGGGGTCACCTCGAGTGAAGAAAAGATTTTTTGCCTCTAAGCAGGCATCGGACAGGCCTGACAAGAGGACAGGAACTCTGTTACAAACTGAACTCTATTTAGGCCATGACAGGTCATTCGAACCATGGAAGAGAACCACTCAGTTCTCTTAATCAGATAATGGACAGAACAATCTCTTCTGTTCGTGATTCATTTGTCATTTAACTAAGAATGTTTATGCATTTGTTAAATCATGATAATGACTGCCAAAGGAAAAGTGGAACAACTTCTTTTCTCTTAGCRTGCCTTAAAGATTTATAATGGTATAAAAAAATCACAGAGAATCTGATTACAATGTTTTCATTGTGTTTTCATGCAAATCACTGTTTTTATTTTACTGTGAACACAGTAATATAAGTGTGGATTTTTCCTGAGAAAATCTTGTTTTACAACCACAGAATTTAACCTTGATTGGCGCCTGGCAAATTTTATCTTTCTTTCTCTGACTCATCTCTAAGCCTGAGGGCGGAACCAAACTTTGTCCATTCTTATTACTAACCCGGACGGCTTTGAGGACACTCTGACTTCCTAATTCAAACAAGGAAGATGGCTGTTGATCCTCCTCGGAGGATCTCAGTTCAGGCTGTAGATCTAAACCYAACAYGCTAAGGGGTGGATTCTACAGCCAGGGATTCGACAAGCCTGTCGGAATCCCACCCGAGGCTTCAAGTCTCCAAGCATTTGTTTTACCTTCCGATGGGAAAGGTGATTTTATTTTGAAGGAGAAACCAGATACAGCTTGAATTTTTCTGGCTTGGAGTGAAGCAGACGCAAAGTTACCGGAGAAATAACATCTGTTTGCCAATGACCAGTAAGCGAGCCCACAACAGTTCACTGACTGATCAGAGGCGAGCCAGCTTTTCTACTCAGAAGGTGTCTTAAGAAGTCATCATCAGGTAAAAGGCTGAAGTGTTTATGGTGACGTGTCCGGTGGAAACCGAGCTTAGAAAAGACGTGCAGTTCCRGTTGACTCACATTTTGTTAAAGTAAAAGTATTAGAAATACTAACATTACTTTCCTCCTTTCCTTGTACTTTTATTTGCCAGAAACTTAAGCTAAAGTGCCAGTAAAATTGTTTGGTTACTTAAAATCAGAACTGACGATTTACTGTTCTATCATAAGTAATTTGAGTTGATGGGGATTGAATTCGGACGGGGGTTCTTATCTCATTAATTCTGAAAGCTTGGTATAGGAAACTGACTACCCACGATTAAGTTGTAACTCATGATTTGTTTAATTTGTGTAAATAAAGGATTGCATAGTTGTTTATGGATCAACTTGAACTTGTCTGAGTGTTACACTTATTGTGTCATTGTCATTTCGCACAGTCAAGATATTAACGAAGAATGAGAAATCCCTTGGTAAAAATTTTCCTCGTAACCTTGTGTATGAGAGATGTGGGAAAGGCTTATTTCATCCTAAGCTAGTCTTCTACATGGGTAGAAGTAAAGAGCTCTCAAGACCTTTGCAACCTTATTGTTGCAAAGCATAATGATGGCATCAGTTATAGAAGAATTTCTAAACTTCTGAATGTTTCCAGTGAGCACTGTTGGGGCCATAATTCGTAAGTGGAAAGAGTATCATTACCCCATAAACAGACCATGACCAGGTGCTCCTAGTAAGATTTCTGAAAGAGGAGTGAAAAGATTATCAGAAGAGTTGTCCAAGAGCCAAGGACCACTTGTGGAGAGCTTCAGAAGACCTGGAATTAGCATATACGATTGTTTAAATAAAAACAATAAGTAATGCACTCAGCTGCCATGGCCTGTATGCACACTCAACACGCAAGACTCCACTACTGAAGAAACAGCATGTTGAAGCTTGTTTAAATTTTGCTGCACAAAATTTAGACAAGCCTGTGAAATACTGGGAGAACATAGTCTGGTCAGATGAGACCAAAATTGAACTGTTTTGATGTCATAATACACATCATGTTTGGAGGTCAAATGGCACTGCACATCACCCCAAAAACACCATACCAATGGTGAAGTTTGGAGGTGGGAACATCATGGCGTGGGGCTGTTTACAGCATATGGTACTGGCAAACTTCAAATAATTGAAGGAAGGATGAGTGGAAAAATGTACAGAGACATTCTTGGTAAAAATCTGCTTCCATCTACCAGGATGATGAAGATGAAACGTGGCTAGCCATTTCAGCAAGACAATGACCCCAAACAAAAAGCCAAGGAAACTCTCATTTGGTTTCAGAGAAAGAAAATAAAGCTGCTGGTATGGTCCAGCCAATCACCTGCCTTGAATCCAACAGAAAATCTATGGAAAGAACTAAAGATCAGAGTTCTTAGCCTTCAAGATTTGAAGACTGTTTGTGTGGAAGAATGGGCCAAAATCACACCTGAGCAATGCATGCCACTAGTTTCTCCATACAGGAGGTGTCAACAAAGGCATTCGTACAAAGTATTAGATAAATTTCAGTAAGCGTGTTCAATACTTTGTCCCTGTGCCATTCCACATTATTACAAATAACTTCATTT